CATTTTAATGTTTTTGCTTCTTTTTTTTAGGTAGCCTGCACAGATTGCCTAGCTTTACTGCATAAGGGTCACAAGTATGAAACCGCAGCAAAAGCTATAAATCATTATGGGAAAGTTTTGAAAGACTCAGCAGAACAGACACGTCCTCTGTGCAATTATGCTGAACATTCTGTAGAGAAATTAAACGAAACTGCAAAAAGTATAAATCGAAAATGTGATGAAATTAAAACACAAGTGGAATTATTCGTGAATAGTTATTTTGAAGCTATTGAAGTTCATCGTAACACTTTACTGCAGCAAGTCCATCGAGCACGGGAATCAAAAGTCGAAATGATATTGGAACAACAAATGAGTTTAGGTAAATTTGTGAGATAACTGATAAACATTATTTAATATTTTAAATTTAATTTCTCTATCGCAAAGAAAAACGTGCACAAGATGCTTCGATGGCAATACAATTTACCCAAGAATTAACTGAAATGACTTCCGATGTTGAGATTTTATCATTTCTTAAAATACTTCTGCAACGTTTCGAATATTGTCAACAGTTTAAAGCACCAATTGATCCTAAGGTTTCATTTGCATTTTTCAAAAAATAATTCGTTTGTGTGTTTCTCAGTTATAAGTGAATAGTTTTAGATTTCAGATTCTCTACATTTTTTACCCAAAATTCAAGCACCGTCAACTAAAAGTCAAAACGATATACCCATGTTTGGTATTATAACAATGCAAACAGTGGAACCAAGTCTTTGCACCTTGCAATGGGATGGTAATTAGTAAATAATTGATATTACATTGTAAATATAGCTACAAGTACGTTCTTCCTTGCATTATTCTTTTAATTATTAGGCTTTTCCCAATTACGACTTCACAAAAAAGTTGAATTAATTCTTATTTCACGGGATGCCGATGGTGTATCGTTGTGTCATGGCGGCTTAGAAATTAAAGTGAAACTCAAGTACAAGGAACAAAGTATAAAGCTTTTACCTACAGATGTATAGCGATTGCTCTGAATATATCTTTATGAGCTCATAACTTTAGTTTTATTTCCCCATTAGGTGCATGATAATCGCGACGGTACTTATGCTATAACATTTACACCCGATTCTCAGGGAACTTTATTGCTAACTGTTGCTATTAACGATAAACATATTAAGGTAAGACGGTTGCCTGATTCATGAATGTGCATATGAAAGACATCAATCAATAAGTTCGTAGGACAACATATAGACATCGTGGCTATTAATGAACCACGACGTTTTGTAGATAGCACCAACTTTCAAATGAAATGTGTCAAAATTTCATGACCTGCCGATACTTGGTTTAATAGTTGTAGTTGTTTTAGAAACGATACTATATGTCATCCTACGAATTTATTGATCGATATTAAAGATGCCCTTTCTAACTTTTATTAAAAAATTCTTTACAGGGCAGCCCCTTCACTTTTTTGGCTCGTGCCGTTCGTCCACATAGCGGTATCTATCATTGTTGCGCTTTTTGTTCGAGCAAAGGTAACAAGATGATTAAGTGTTCTTGCGAGGGCCGTATGCCCGGTTATAACGATGGCTGCGGTCATGGTCATACAGGTCACCCCGGACGACGTCACTGGTCTTGTTGCGGCAATGTTTTAGAAAATTCGGAATGCACTGTTGCGAATAAGTTACTAAATCCTTCAACTTAATTCCTACTACTCTGTGATTACTTTAATTTAAATAAAGGAAGAAAATGAAGGGCGTAATGTAAACATTACTTCTTTAAAATGAAACTATGGTGTTCTGAATATCATTAATGCACATAAAGCGTATGTATGTATTTTGCGCATGCTGTGTGAAAGCACTTCCCCGG